ATTTCAGACCTTAATTCCACACTTTGCAAGACAAAACTGTCAGTTTTAACTTCAGTATACTACAAATCATGTCAACAATAGCAGGATTTTAAGTCAAAATCTAAAATTATCAAATCTGTGAGCAGGAAGCAAAAAGCTACAGACGAAATTTCTGCGAAACCGAAGAGAAAACCCAGTAAGAAAGCAAAAGGGTAAACGATGTTCAAAGGGAAAAACAAGATCAGGAACAGCAAAAAGAGTTGAAATTGGGATTTGAAACGAAGAATCGATTCTTGATCTATATTATCCCCAAGAATCAAATCCAGGTAAAAACAAAACACAAATCTGACCATGGATCCTCGAAAGTCTCCTCTTTTTTCAGCATTTACTAAACAACAAGCAAAACCCAGAAATCAAAATCGAACCTTTACTTCAAAACATCTCCAAGTACCCAACGATCCAAACAAAACCCAAGCGAGCTAGGGTTCAAATAAAACCCAGAATCTAGAGGAAACAGAAGTGGAAATTGGTGTCAAAATAATGCAAAGTGATTGAGAAAAAAAAAAAACAGGGAGATTTGTAAAATAGATGCGAGATAAAAGCGTGTATGTAAAGGTGTATACATACACCGTCAGTGTTTGGTTGAAGCCGACACGAACCCTTTGGCTATGGCTGCCTCTTTTTTTTCCTCCTCTTCTTCTTTAAAGTATTTTATTTATTTTGTTTTCCTCTCTTTGGGTTTATCTACCACAAGCATGACTTGCTTTCTAGTCTCCTTACTTTGGAAAAAGGGACTTCATTGAGAACTTTCACCAAAAATGAGCATATGATTTAACGGAATTTTGGGAGCTTTAATTGTTAACTAACCGATTAATCAGCCTGCAATTATTTTACAAACTTGTATATAGGTAACTTTTTTGTTAGAAATTCCAACCTTATGTGAATTGAAAAATCGTGTTGTATTTTCTTTTTGAGATTTTTAAGAATGTTATCAAACTTTTGGATTCGTAGTTCTTCTTTGTCAATATCAGTCTGTGAAAAATACATATCTCCCAAGTAAGGTTTGATTTTTGAATAGGGTATCAAAGAGCATTATTTTCTCTAAAGGACAATGTTATGACCAGTAGACTTTCTAAGCTTGGTTTTTGGTAATGCATATATATTTTTTAAAAAAAATCAAACGAATAATAGCTCAACTAATTCTTTCAAAAATTTCCACTTTTTGTGTTTTTTGCTTTAAAGATTCAGTTTTTAAGCTGTTTTAAGCTTATGGAGATGTTGACCTTTTTATTTTGGGCAAAGTAAAAGATTTTAAAGGTTCAAAAAATCCAAAAGATTATGGGACAGTTTGATTCTAGACATGATATCACCCAATCATTGTTGTATAAACTTCATGCTTCATAGAAAGCCAATCTATCTTGCTTGCTTTCTGAGAAAAAAACTAGGCAAGAGAGGCATAACATGTTGTTTATAGGTAGAGAAAATGTCCTAGATTACCTGCCAGTTTCATTGGTTTAAGAAAATGGTGACTTTGAAGATAGCAGCTTCTCAAGAGCAAATTAGGTAACTATCATAAGAAATCAGTCAAATCAATCCATAGCAATAGCCAACTAAAAAAGGGCCAAGAAATGATCCTAAACCCTTTGTTTCATTTTGGTTGACACTACTTTTTCTGACATAATATAGAGATGTCCTTTCTTAAAAATATCATATTGCTAGCGTTTACTTTCGACAATGGCATTCATATGCTAGTGTCACTTTCGACAATGGCATTCATAACTTTTACAATCATCGATAATCGTGTATGTGTCTAGAATAGTCGTATAGTAAAACGCGTATCGGACTAGGTTAATCTCGAGGGACCCCTTCTTCGATCAAATAAATAGCCAGTAAATAATCTCATAGACCACCGCTCCTCATTCTGCAAAAATTAGGGTTCGTCTACCTTTCGGAAGAAAAAAATGTTTGTCTACTTTCTAGTAAAATTTTCGACTATCTTCAGATTTACTTGTTCTATTTATTAATTGTACAAAAATTTTGTAATGCATATGGCTGAAAGAAAGATTGTTTTGCTCGTAAAAGGACAATGGTTTAAAAGGTGTGATGGTGTGTGGACTTTTTTGACTGACAAAAAAAACAGCAGAGGATTTTTCACAAGTGCGAGAATGAAATATGCAGAGGTGGTGTAAGTCGTAAAGGAGAAAATGGAAATAGCAGAAGAAAATGTGGTCGTCGCTTTCACTTATCAATTGATGCAATACATGATAATGGATGATGGAACGACGCACCACCGGTTTCTATTCGCTGCAGCGAGGATGTTACACTTTTTTGGAGTGGTTGTGTTTGGTGTAATTGTTGGCTTTGGTCATACGTTCGTAAATGTTGATACTGATTTGAGTTGACTTATATCAGTTTTTGGTTTTTTCATATTTTTTTGGTATAATTCTGATTATACGAGTTTTTTGAAAAAAAAAAATCATTAACAAAAATCGATTCAACCGTTTAGTTTTAGTGCATATGGTTCATTAGTTGTTATTCAGTTGGTTATCTAGTATTGTTTTAGATATTATTTCTCTTGTTTGGGTTTGTGTTTTCTTCTTTTGAACTTTGTTTCCTAAAAGAAATTTTAACAATTTTGTATATTTCAAACATATTTCATCTTTTTATTACTTTTGAAAATTTTAATAAATTCAAAAAAAAAAACAACCAATAGACCAAGAAAACACTTTTAAAATATACACAAGAACTAATTTCATTATATTCCATTTAGCACAATTAAATAACAGTTATTTTTCTTAGTATAGACTCAGAAAAAGACATGTATTAGTAAATGGAAAATAATGCAAACCAGCGAAAATCCTTACAGCTTCAAGCTTTGTCTCCTGTGGTGGGCACTCAATTGAGATTCACGCGCTACAAAAGAAATATGCCACTTGGAGTAATTAAAGGGATTTTTAATTAACTCTTGAAAGAGATTAGCCTAACAGTAATAATTAATGTATGCTTAATAATTGAGCTGTTTTTGTCTTTGACAGTACCATCACGAGCTTGACGTGTTTTCTTCTCGGTAAGCAAGCATTTGTCTCCTTGTCTCTAACCAATCTTTTTATTTTTTTTCAATTTGTTTTTAAAAAAAAAAGGAAAATAAGTTCTCATTAAACTATCCAGCGACAACTTTTTAAAATATTTATAGCAAAAACACAAACAAATGTTACAAGCAACATGGCAAAGATGTTTACTTTCCTCCCATGAAACCAATGTGGCACATTAGTAAAATTGAGTAAGAATCTTCTTCGCAAATAACCTTATAGATTCCAATCTGGGTCACGAAAATACCACTGACTCGGCTAACTATGGATCCGGTGATAAGAGTCGGTAGACATAATCGGTCTTCTTTCATGACGTCTTTCGTTATAAAATGGATTAGGATTCTAGGATTTTAAAATCAGTAAATTTCTAACCACAAGTGGTAATTGTGTCTATACGTTCTCAACCAGTATATACGTTCTCAACCACAAGTGGTAGTAGAATGATGATTCCCAACTGAGAAGTTTTCATATTGATATAGGTTATGGATCCATTTTTTAAGTGTAATTATCTAACCACTCTCATTTGTCGAAATTGGATTATGTTTTAAACCTTAGAAATCATGGTGAGTGAACTATTCGACAAATAACTTACATTGGAGTATTACTCAAATGGTAAAATCCAGATTTGATTATAAAGTATATACACTCTCATAATTTTGTGGGGTTTTATGGAATGCTTGGACTGAATCTGTTGACGATATGAGAAGTACAACATATTTCTATTTCAGCTTTTGGCCAGAAATTTGTGTAGATAAAAAACTTTATGTTACAATGAAAGGGATATCATTTAAAACCAAACTGATGTCGATTGAGGAAACCCAAGTACCAAATATGAAGAAAGCTCTAGTGACGCGTTTAAGGAATAGGAGCATACGTGAAGCATTCAACAAATCAGTGGAAATATTGCTTAATCTAAGGGAGTATGAAGAAACCACTCAAAAGCTAAACCACTAATTGTTTGGGTCTCCTCTGACTCCTATGAGGAATATTTCTCTCTTCGGTTGTCGGATGAAACAGCTTCCAATTTGTTTTTTTTTTTACTTTTCTTCAGCCTTTCTTCTTGTTTTTCTCTTTTTGTTCATATTTTTCACTTTTGCTTTACCATGAGTTTTCAGGCTCCTTATCACTACTAGTTTGGCTCCATTGCTTCAAAGCTTCAACGTCGATATTAGTACTGATGGAATTTGCTTTCATACTTTTTTTTCTTGTTTTGGCATGAGACCAATCTTTTGGTCAAACAATTTGCTCAAGTGTAAGACCAAACCTTTTTCATTTTCAATGAGGTATTTACCATTTAGCAAAAAAAAAAAAAAAAACTAAACAACTTGAAGGTGTACCCAGCCCAAGAAGAACCGTGACCTATAGAGATCAACCGGAGTATGGAGCCAATTTGAAGCTTAGCCACCATATACTATTGAAGACCAGCGTTTTCATGTCTTCCATAAAGACCAAGGAGTCCTCGCCACCAACATGTACCAAGATATCGGACCAGACTAGCTGAAGACTTCAATCACAAGCAATGCTTCCGATAGACTTAAACTTACAGACGAAGACCATTTGAAAGCTGAATACATGGAGGATGCTGAAGACACCAACCGTTCTAGAAATAGGAAACATTTGGGAGCTGAGAATGGAAAACCCCCTAAGAGCAACTACAATGCTGATACCCTCTTTGGGTCTCTTTGGGGTTTTTTTGCAATTTTTTTTTTTTTGTAATTTTGAAGGACTCAATTTCATTTTACCCCTCCAACCCTGATACTTGTTTTAGGATATCATGAATAAAATAATATTATTTTCGATTTTTTTTTTTTGTAAATTTAGATAATTTCGAAAATAATATTTCATAAACTATCTTATATATAAAAGGGAAGGAAAAGAATTATCACCAAATTAATCAAAAAATTTGAGTGCTAAATATATACATTAATCTTATGAAAGCAAATAATTACGATTGATGTACAGCAACAGTCAAATACAAATGATTCACACCAAACCAAAGATTATAAAGAGAGAGCTCTTAACAACAATGGATGCTACTTGTCTTACATAAAACATAATTAATATGCGAGCAAAGGTGCGTTGCTCTTCTTCCGTGGATCAACTCTGTTATTCAGAAAAGAGTAACCAATCTCAAGAACCAACTCAGCAGATAGATAACTTTCTGATCCCGCAAGAGACATATGCACCAACACTGCTGACCAAGCACTCACATGAGGATACTCTTCTGTCTCAGCAAGCTTCCTCAAGATCGTTGATGCAGGAACAGCCATGCCTGACTTGGCGAGAGCCAAGGACAGATATACAAGAGGTTCCTTCTCTAGCAAATTTTGTTTACTCTCCTCAAAGGCTTTTTCCACTAAACTGTAACTCTTTAGTAGCCAGTTAGAGTTGAGAGACTCAGCAAAACAAACCAAAACATTGTTAACAACATATTTTCGAGGGAAACCTTCCATTAACAACATATTTTCGAGGGAAATGGACAAGCAATTGAAATTGTGATCTCAGATGAGTTAACAAAAGTAACCGTAGAAGAATTAAAGAAAGCTCACATGCAGATATACTCACAAATCGAACAACATTCATTACCTCTTCGACGTGAGAGAGAGATTGAGCTGAAGGCGATCGTTGATCCAAATAAGGAGCTCGTTTCTTCCGACGAAGTAAGCATGATCCATTATCCCGATGTTCGTTGTCATTTGAGTCTTTAAACCCAAAGAAGAAAAAAAGAAAACCCTTTTCTCTTTAGCTCTCGGAAACCAGATAAAACGAGAGCGATAGAGTTTTTGGGTATTGATGGAAAATCAGTAGTATAGGTAAAGAAAATCAGCAGCAAAGAATTTCGCCGGTGAACCGACTGTGAAAGAAAGGAAATGTCGCCGAAAAAAATAAAACTCTTTCCTCCAAAAATTCAACCAACCACAACTCTCCACGTCACTGACGATCCTCCCTTGAGAGGGGGTCTTCGATCTCCTCTACAAGAGACGGTACATCCAGAATAATAAACCCAAATTTTTTCAAAATTTCAAAATAGACCTTCGGGCCTACGGAAGAACCTCTGAACATCCCGCGTTGGAGATGGTCTTAACAGCCTAGTTCTGACCAGAATATACACAAGTCCATAGCCCCTTTTCGGACAAAATAAAGACTTTTCCTTATTTAGCATCTAGCCAACTTGAAGCGACGACTTTGGGGAGTCTCCATCTAATCCAAAGACTTTCATTCTTAAACACGTTTTTATGTGGCAGATGTCAAACTAAGACCAGGAGCACACGAGTTTCAATTTTCGGACCACCTTTTATTACTGCTGAAATAAATAAATAAAAATCTAAAACAATGAAAATGATCAGTCTAACTAATTTTATGATATGATCTAAAAACTTTACAATAATACTGCTAAAAAAATCGATTATAGTGGAAAGTGTCATATGATTTCCTTTTTACCACATTCCGTCTGTGTAAATTGAACACCAATGCTAAAATCAAAAGAATGTTAGGTTGATTAATTAAAGTTACAGTAGCAAATTATAAAAATATCTTCTCTATATTCGTACCAAACATATAGATTACAAAATCAATCAAACAAAACAAAAGAATGGAAAGTAAACTCTACCAATTACTACAATTTGATTATTTGAAAAAGAAAAATTAATGTCCATACAAGGCGTGTGTGAGTCTTGCTCATGCCTCATACTCTCAACCGGATATAATTAAATTCAATGGTTTGGTTAGCTAAATAGAAAAAACAGAGTTCATAAATACTAGTTTAAAAGTTTATATATTTGCTCATGCCTCATACTCTCAATGGGATATAGCTTTTGCAGTTAGTGTACTCTTCGTTACCTAAAGTTCTCATATTCACTAAGAGCAAAACTCCGAAGGTAGTTTTACTATCAAGTTCACAAGGATTTTTTTATGGATGAAAGAACTTGTGAGCTCTTATGGTTGTAGAATGTTTTGAAATAAATTGGTTTTCCTTTAACAAAAAAAAATGGTTTTGTTTTGACAACATATCAACTATTGACATAGCACACCAACATGATCAAACTAAATATGTGGAGAGAGATCATCAATTCATTTAAGAAAAGATTGATACTAGAGTAGATCGCTTTCATTTTATAAAATCTGAAAACCAAGTTGCTGATATCTTTACGACAACTATGAAAAACAAAAAATATTTCATTGGATGATTTGCAAGTTGGACATGTTAGAATTACATGCACTAACTTTAGTGGGACTCTTGAAAATAATATATATTGAAAGGTCGATATCATCTACAAATTAAAGATTTTTTTGGATGATTGCCACGGTTATGAGATTTTATGTGTGAATATGTTGAATTAACATCGAAATTTCTCTTAACAAAAAAAAAACATAGAAATTGTATAAGAGTTTTAAACGAGATTTATGTAACTAAGAAGTAACAGGCTTCTTATGGTGAGAGTTCTTAATCCATTAGTCTTGTTCTTGGATATTGTCGAGCCATCATCATTCAGATTCGTTTTCAAGTTTGTTGAACTGCATTAGTAGTAAGCCCATTCGTGAGGCCCAGTACAGAACTATAAAAGCTTGTGAAATTCATGAAGCCTGTGATGCTTGGCCGATAATAATACGATTCTTTCACTTTTTTTATTGATGATAATACGATTTGGTGTAAAGTTGGTTTCGGTTATACACTTATACACTAAAGTAATGTAAAAAAAAAATACAATAAAGTTAATATAGAGTTAGACAGTGGGAAATAGATTTGAAAAGTTCACACTATCACTCCTAGGTCTCGAACCCCGCGAAAACGGGGGGAAATAAAGTATATTATAATTTTTATTATTTTTAAATACTTATAAGTAAACATACATATAACAAAAAGTAATAATATTTAGATATAAATATATAATTTTTTTGAAAAAAATAACTACTATTGTAAAAAATAAATAGATATGACTTTCAAAAATATAAAGATACAAATACGAACGAAGCCGTGTAAAGCAATTAACACAAATATCTATTTGAGTTCATATTAATGTAACAATGTATAACTCAACAACATATACATCCATGTAAAAGACAACTATACAATTGACATTGAGAAGAAGTTAAACAATAATTATAACCAACATGATCAATTTTATAGATAGAACACAATCTTTGATAGATATATTTTTACAATGAGAAGATTTTAAAAATATTATCATGATATGAAGTATTAAAATCTCCAAACCAAGAAAATAAAATTCTAGTACAAAATCTTGTATGAGAAAAAAAATTCAAATTTATCATGATTTGTAAAATTTTGGAAAATATTTGGATTTCAAACCATTAGAAATAGTTTTAAAACATTTTAAGTCAATATTATCTTTCGAAAACCGAAAATAGTCTTGAATTTTTAACATCATATATCATTGGACATATTATATTGGCTTAACAAATTTTTAATTGTGTGATATTAGGCGATTTTTTAACTTGTTAATTGTATCAAAAATATACATTTGAGAGAACATTGGTAGCTCACCATCATATGGTAGCACAGACCCAATAAGATCATAATATTCACTATGGACCTTGAAACAATACATCCATATGTATTTTGAACAAAATAATCAATTTTTGCACTCATAGAAGATAAAATCTATGATAGAATTATATGCTCTTATATATCGGAGAAACAAAAACTCACTTAAAAGCTTAACTAATAACGGTGGAGGCTCACGAGCAGTAGGGAGTAAAACACAACCTTGTTTGCAACAAACTGTAAACAATGATCGTTTACTAACTACATCTATTTCAGTGCTTTCTAATGACCAAACCCAAGAATTACAATCGAGACACTACATTAAATTATTATTTGGTTTCTTTTTTCGTGGTCTTTCTTCTTTTCTTTTAGATTTTTAACATTATTAATTCTAATTTTTTTAAAAAAACAGTTATGATATTATGACTAGTAATATAAACACTCATTATTCCAAATTTTTTTGGGGATACTGCTATTATTTGATATTGGTTGAAAATCACCATCTATTCAAAAATAATTTTCTTATTAATAAATGTAAATTCATATTCCAAAAGTATTTTTTAAATATATAATTGAAGTGACATACTATTAATCAAAGATTATTGTTGGGAGAAATTTTCTAATTCTATTGAATTTCTTGCATTCATTGATTTTTCATACTTTCCTACAAGCAAAATATTTTTAAAAAAAATATTATATCAATTTCATAATTAAAAAAAACAATACATATTATCTAAATTTGATCATATTATTATAATAATATGTAATAATAAGTGAATTTTATGCTTACAAATAGAATGTTTACCCATCTCTAAATAAAAAAAACTGTGTCTTATTTGGTACAAAATTGTATATTCTTAATGAAAATTTGTGTCTTTTTAATAAGTAATTGTGTCTTTATTTTGAAAAGATACAATGCTTCAATATTGAAAAATAAATTGTTTAAATTTTGAAGAGTTGCAATAGTTTAAAACCATTAACTCAAGATGTGCAATGGTTGGTGAACTAGCCTTAACTTCAAGAGTTGCAATGTTAGTAAATAACTATAAACTCAAGAGTTGCATGGTTGATGAAATGACCATAATTTCTATAATTGCAATATTTAGTAAACTAATTATAAACTCAATAGTTGCAAAGGTTCACCAAAATAAGATAACACTTGCCAACATTCATTTCCTATTAAAATGTAATAATAAATTTACTAAACAAACAACACATATACAAATAAAAACCAAAAGACATAACCATACAATATTTAGCAGTTATATACAAAAAAATACAATTAAAAATATTCAATGGAAGACACAACGGTTCATTCTTAGATTTTCATAGAAATGTATAATTTTAAAAAAAATGAAAAGACATAATTTTATAATAATGATAACCTTTCATATTAATAAATATTATACACAAAAAATTTATAGTAAATTTAACAATAATAATAAATACAAAGAGAAAATGGTTCAATCATAGTTTTTCATATCATTATTTTTTTTCACAGATTTAATTTTTTTTTGTTGTTCTTAGCCTTTTCTTTTGTCTTCAAATTTTTTTTGTGATTTTTTATTTTCTTATTTTTAAGATTAAAATTTTCATCAATTTCATATAAATTGGCTTCTTCTTTGTTTTCTTTTTTTCACTTCACATCTAAATCTATTAGTTACATTATCTTTAGAAAGTTCATCTTTAATCTCCATTATAGTTTGGTATATCATATTTCCTATGTCAAATAAATTAACTAACTATTATTGTATAACCAAAAGTAGTGCTACACTTGCATATTTTAATGATAAATTAAATTTAAAAATCAGATTTTAAAATATAACTAATAAACTCATAGGACAAAAGATTATGTTGTCTTCTAAAATTAGTGATAAACTTGCCGAGAGAATTACCATTTTCTGTTTAGTCCTAAATATTGAATTTTCTTTCAAAACTATTTTTCTGGATATTGATCGAATGTGAGACCTTCTAATTCAAGTTCTTCTATATTCATAGCTGAATAGATTTTTTTTTAAAAGAAAACATTTAAAATAGAGCTAAAAACTCATGGGAAAAATATTATGTTGCCTGTTGAGATTAATACTATAATTGATTAGAGAATTACCACTTTTAGTCCAAATTATTTGGCTTTTGTTCCAAAAATATTTTTTTAGGGAACGAGTAGTCTTTCACGCTCCACTTTCTTTTTTATTCATGGCTTATCATTTACTCAAAAAAATTCTTCTAACACCATTTTGGTAACAATTCCTTGCAAATGAATAATATTTTTCTCAAAGAATTCTAAGTTAATTTGAAGTTTTCAACAAAAATGATTGATGTATAAGGTGTTGTTAATGAATAGTAGAAAAATATATATACACTCCTGTAAAGAAATAAGCATTAATAGAAGCAACCTTTTGATAATCGGCAATTATGTACGAAATGTTACAAGTAATAAAATAAAACAAAAAGACACAACTGTAGAATTGTAACCATTGAATAAATTAGCAGTTATACACGAAAATGTATAATAAATTAAAAAAAAATAGAAAAACACAATGGTCCACTCATAGTTTTTATTTTATAGAATTTCAAAAAGGTA